ATATGAATAAAAAGCTTATGTAAGATTCCATCAAACTTAATGTAGAAATGGCAGTTTATATTATGTGAGCTGTATATTAACAGAAATGTCGGCATTTGAAATAGTATTTTTACAACTGATTGTAAATTAACTGTCAAATAGTGGCCACATCGGTTATTCCATCTTTGGCCACATGTAAGATAACATCAAACGTAATGCAGAAATACAATCATATGCCAGTTTACATTATGTGAGCTGTACATTAACAGAAATGCCATTTGAAATAATATTTTTACAAGAAATTGTAAATTTACTGTTAAATAGTGTTTAAATCGGTTATTCCCATTCGCCCAATATCGAATTTTGTGCAAAATATTTACTGTTATGTAAGTCAGATTAGTCTAGTTTAGAGAAATAGGTTATTTAAAATCTGAATTCACCTAACTGGCGTCTGGAGATAGTGATATGCCATGCCAAACATTTTGCTTCGTGTCATGCCTCCTACTCTTTCCATTGTACGAAGCAGAAAAGTGGGACGTTAAACTCCACTTTAATTAATTTCTTTCCATTATCGAATGATGTTTTGCATGCTTGGCTGAAATGTCCACAAAACTTTATGTTTTCGCCTGGATAGTGTCTAGGACTACTTAGCCGAATGGGGACAAACATATTCTCTTTAAAAATGTCACCTTTTCAAAGTATATTTCAAGTAAAATTTATTTTGCCGTAAAATGACTGGCAGAAAGTTGCCAGTAAAATCATTGTATTTAAACACTGACTTGTAAATGTACCCCTAAATGGTGTAAATTTACAGTGAGTGTAAAATAACTTTGAGGTAAATTAACAACCACAGTGTAAATTTACAGTGAGTGTAAGATAACTTTGAGGTGAATTTACAACCACAGTGTAAATTTACAGTAAATGTAAATTTACCTCACTTTCTATTTACAAGAACAATGCAAATTTACACCGAAGGTTTTTTTTTACACTCACTGTAAATTTACATGCTGTTAAAATACAGTCATTTTACTGGCAACTTTCTGCCAGTAAATTTACGGTAAAAATGCACAAATATTATTTACAGTGTATGGTAGTCATTCTGTGCTTGATACAAAGGAAAGAACCCTAGCCGAAATGTCATCCGAAATACCCCTTTTAACGACTTTTTATTCGGATCTTGCCAACACCCTAACCAGCATATCCATGTCCTTTTATCGGCTTCAATCAATATTGCGCTTCGTGAAAACACGTTCATTTTACTGACAATGCTCTACCAAGGGCCGGAGGTAGGGGTGGAGGGGTCTGAATTGCAGGCCAGTAGGACCCCATCTTGGCTCCATGTTAGTCCCATCCGAACAACTATGCGCTGTCCTTTTGTCAGGCCCTACATCCTGCACCACTGACAAAGGGGAACCACGCCGGAAAGTCCCAAATAACCTTTCCAGCAATCGCAGGGATCAAACACGGGACCTCCTAGTTAGCAAGCTAACGTCTTACTCAAAAATGACATAATACTAAACCTTCCATTTCCCTCTAAGTCGATGAATAATTAACCGTGTGTTGACGGGAACACTTTCTAGTATCCGGTCACCTAATCCTAGCCAGGTTGACTTCCGGGAGCCACGGTAGCCTGATGTGTACGACGAATGCCTTACTGCAAGTTTAAAACATAATCTGTTAAAAAGCCTCCATCGGCTTTGCAACATTGAATATCGATAAGGTTCTTCCTCACATAACACCGATGATTAACACCAGACAAAAAGTTTGAAAACTCCATTGAAAATCACATCCTCTTTTTAGATTAGGTTCGTCCTCTTATAACCAGGGCCGTATTAGGGTTTTGTGGGCCACAGGGCCATAATATTTAATGTGGCTTATACACAGGCATCCATCTGCTACATTCGAACATCCGATATAAAAACATGGGCATAACCAAATAAATAACAAGCACTATAATGGCTTCGAGATAACGCATGTAGGAATTCACAATACAGTAGAACCCGGATATAAGCAATCGGGGTGTAAGCAACTATTGTCTGGCATCTGTGTATTACGATGCAAATTTGCCCTGATAAAAGCAATGCAAGTCCGGATATAAGCAATTTTTTGTCACTCCTGCATATTAGCCCTACCGTACTGTAAATTCTACTCAATAAAAGACGCACAGCAAAGTATAGGCCTGTTTAATCTTCCATACTATAAAAGTTTCACTTTATTTACCAGGAAAACCCATAAAATAAGTAATTTTGACTTTGCTCTGATATAAGTAATATCGGATATAAGCTATTTCAAGCTGTCGCCCGAACCATTGATTATATCAGGGCTCTACTGTACCAGCAGATTATTGAGATAATTTTATTGAACCAAGCAGGAACTAAGGGTAACACAAATACGGATTACACCTTGTTGGCCAGTGCATTTATCCGGACCGGCTTATAACCCCAACGAATCACACCAGATTTGAAACTAATCTATTGAAAACTGTAGTGGATAGTTCTCTCATGAACCCAATACTTCACGTTAAATTTGGCAAACATTGGTTAAAACTGTGGCCTCTATCACATTCCTAACGTTTTCTGCTAAGGGCGCATAACTCTGGAACGGACGACCAAGAAATGCTCATTATTGCCAGTGTTCATAAATGTTCAAATCCGTAGCCCTATCGCGTTTACAAGGTTTTCGGAAGGTCCAAGGCACAAAAGAATTATACTATGCGCTTTAGAGGGAGCGAGAGAGAGAGAGAGAGAGAAATGGGGTTTAACGTCCATTCGACACAAACTAGGTCATTTCGGGACTAACACATGGTTCAATTTTATTTCAATAATTCGCTTGCGCGTAGGGGTCTTTAGCAGTGGGAGGAAACCGGAAGACCCGGAAAAACCCCCACGATCTTGGACAGTCGACCATACTCCTTGTCACGCACAACCGGAGAATCAAAACCACGCTAGTTGATTCAATGACAGACAGACCTCCCCCGCGCTTCACAGGGTCCACGGGAAAAAACACTTGATTTTTCGTACATCCAGGGGCAATAATCTAGTAATAGTATCTTTAAGTTTTAAGTTTTGGCAAAATTAAAATGTTTTTGTACGAATTCAGATTTTCATATTTATTGCGGAAATAAAAAGTCTAAATTTCCGTGTTATAAGGAAATCCTGAAAAGGAAATACATTTTATATTATCCGAAAATATCAACAACATGTATATCAAATAGTTATTAAATTAAAATCAAAATCTGGATGACGAATAAACAAGAAATGTCTGCACATATGTTACAGTTTTAAATTTACTGTTGTTAGAAATTGAATCGGGTGTGGTCCCCTTGTCAGAGCTGTAGGGTGGAGGGTCTGATAGGAAATAACGTATAGTTTTTCGGAATGGACGAAAAACCGAAGTCCTTTTTTACAATGCCGCGCACCTTAAAGATCGATATAAGAGTAGACCATGGCGCCGTTGGGGCAAAATTTTCCTCATAGCACACTGTATGGCGTATAGACCATAGACCATCTCCAAACCTTTTGTGGGGAACTGGTTCATTGCGAGAATTTTAAACATCGTCAGCTACTTAACGTCAAGGAAAATGCGGCAATTAGAACGGAAGTGAAGAAGTGGCAACATTTACCATTGACAAGAAACTAAAAGTATTAGATGATCGAAAACAAGCTGTAGTTTGATCGTATTTTAATAAAATTATGCATCCAAAAACCCCTTTATGTCTGGGGCCTCAGATTACCACTTTCGTGCGAAGTGAATAATTAAACAGTACCAGAATAATTCCTCTATAATCTAATTGGTCAGAAGTCTAACGTCACGACTGACGTATGAATGTAAGCACGCGTAACTGACAATTAATATTCAAAACGTAATATGCTTGACAAACAAAAAAATACCTTGTTTACCCAAGATAAATGTTTACACAAGGGTTACGTGTCTGGATAAGCGGTTTTGGGGTACACGTGGAAACGACTCAATATTTTGAGCTGAAATTTTGAGACAAGGTAAATACACAATTCATCTGTATTTTGGCGATTACATTTCATGCGTACACGGACTCTTATTTTTGAGACTCATGTTCAAATCGAGGTACCCCCTTTAAAGCCATGAGAATATACTATAAGCATGGGCGTCACACATGGGGGGTGGGGTATCCGGGTGGATCGGACCCCCCCCCTCCAATTGTTTTTCGGGGGGGGGGGGGGGTCTCAATATACTTGGACCCCCCCCCCCCCCAAAAAAAAAAAAATTACATAGTAGGCCCTAACTCCTACTTATAAGCATGGGCGTCACACATGGGGGAGGGGTCCTAACTCCTATTTATTTACAACAATTATTAGGATTAGTTAAGATTCTATCTGTATAAAACCTGTAAATATCCCAATATGGTTTACATTGCCAAAATAAAACACAAAGAGAATCATCCTGGAAACATGTGTGAAGTGAAAAGTAACTGTGTTCCATAAAATTGTGTCTAGTTAGTCTGTCAGTAATATTTTGTTATTTTTTTTTCTGCTACTTATCAGAGTGAATCGCATGTAGGTACCCAAAAACATTATCGCCTAAACCAAATATTTATCGCCCGCTCAGCAAGCCACGAGTTGTGTAGAAAGCATGGTCACATGGTGTTTGTTTATATTTTTTAGGGGTTTTAAAAAAGGGTTAGGGTTAGGGGTTAGGGTTGCGGACCCCCCCCCCTCCAATATATATTTCACGGCTACGCCTCTGACTATAAGCTCAAACAATCTAAACAAAATCGATGAATGACGTGGTTGGTTTTAATAGAAATTGTCAACGTGTCTACTTTCTAGAAACTTGTAAAATTTTCTATTTTTTAATATATATTTCACGGCTACGCCTCTGACTATAAGCTCAAACAATCTAAACAAAATCGATGAATGACGTGGTTGGTTTTAATAGAAATTGTCAACGTGTCTACTTTCTAGAAACTTGTAAAATTTTCTATTTTTTAAAATCAATCAGCAGCTGTTTACCTGTAAATGTGTTTAAAAGACACAGCTATCTCTGAATTAATCACTTACCTTTCTGATTGCTGTACTCTGTATAGTCGTTGATCTGAAAGATTTATCATCATGCGTTTTTTGATGACCGCTCTTCTCTTGGTTGCTGTAGTTATGATTGTTGCTGAAGCGGGTCGTGGCGGTCGTCGTCATAGACGTCGTTATAGATATAACAGACCATCGTTGAGAAACGTCAGTTGTCAAGATGTAAAGAATGCAGGTGTTTGTGACAGGTGCTGTGGTAAGACCCTTTTTATCCTTATTACTAAAACCACGTGGGTACTGAAATGTTATAGTTGTCTTACCACATTCTGGAGGTGGTCAGATGATTCGTACTATTCTTAACACCTCCACTAGTCATGACTGTATCGGTGCCGCAGTTTGTCTCCTCAGTTGATTTTTCTTGGTTTCTGGACCAACTTAACGCGTGGGCAGACTGGGCAAAGTAACTCCTTAACCGGATTGTCTTGCTTCCAGATTGTACGTAGTGTTTTAAGCATGCCATGGTTTCTGGCTAGCAGTTTGATTCCCTAACCAGTTCTCGGTCATTTTGTGGTTGACCCAGCGACGTTCAGCGTTCCGGGTTGATATTTTAAATTTCATTGCTTTAGCATCAAACCAAGGTACTTCCTTTTGATTGGTGCATGACTATTTCGACGGGAGAGAGAGAGAAATGGGGTTTAACGTCCACTCGACACAAACTAGGTCATTTCGGGACTAACACATGGTTTAATTTTATTTCAATAATTCGCTTGCGCGTAGGGGTCTTTAGCAGTGGAAGGAAACCGGAGGACCCGGAGAAAACCCACGAGGTTGGACAGGCGACCCTACTCCTTGCCACGTACAACCCGGGATTCGAAACCACGCCAGTTGACTCAATGACAGACTTTATGGTACAGCGCGCACGTGCTAACCATTCAGCCCCCCCACCCCCTTATTTCGACGGAGTTACAATTCTTGGATCACGTCTTGATTATGCAGAAATCAACAGATTCGGTCATTACATGATGTAGAAATTGGTCATTTTTAGTACGGATCTAGCATTAAAGATACATTATGGGGGATTAGATAAAGAGCTGTCAGTTCTCACTATAATAGTTAAAAACTAGATAATGTAAAAGGAATTTGCTGAAAATTTCAGTTAAATTGATCCAATCTGAACCAAGAATTTAGCGATTGAATATTGAGGCTAGCCTCGATCATCATTACTAAAGTCAGTAGAATAAAAAACATAGTCTCGGTTATCCATTTTTTAAATTTAATTATGATGGAAGGCGAACAGCAAATCGGAACCTAATCCAATAAACATCGCAGGCTAGCGATGACATCGAGAGTTGATTATGGTCTAAATAAGTTAATTAATGTCTAATTAATAATTTAGATAACATTTCAGGCCTAAAGAAAGACCTGCAATAGGCAGATTTAGCTCTTGCATAATGTATGTTTAAGTAATCCAAATCTACTGTAATAGTTATAGTCATACAATGTCTCTGATGGTAAGGGACGTGATAGTTCAATGCAAATTCCCTTATTTTTGTCCCATGTTGCCTCCCAACTCGCAGTCCTACGATCACTAGAATGTTTACCACGATTTCTCCTATAGCGCCCTTTTATACAAATTTTTTGTATTCGATTTATAGCTATGACCGATAAACTCGAGGTTTAAAAAACCAGGTCGGAGTTCGTAAAGTTCTGGGGGGTTAGATGGCCGAATGGTTAGCACGTGCGCGCTGTATCATAAAGCCTGTCATTGAGTCAACTGGCGTGGTTTCGAATCCCCGGTTGTACGTGACAAGGAGTAGGGTCGCCTGTCCAACCTCGTGGGTTTTCTGCGGGTCCTCCGGTTTCCTCCCACTGCTAAAGACCCCTACGCGCAAGCGAATTATTGAAATAAAATTAATAACCATTTGTTAGTCCCGAAATTACCTAGTTTGTGTCGAGTGGACGTTAAACCTCATTTCTCTCTCTCTCTCTCTCTCTCTCGTAAAGTTCTGAGGCTGTGTAGCAAATTCGTTCCCCACAGTTAGTCTCTACACATCTCATAGTTTGAATAGATTCAATGCGAAGACTATAAGCATAATAGAAATAGTGATGAATAATTACCACAAAAATCATTGTTATATACGTCATCTATATGTGTTCACATATCATCAGACATAAGTACAGTATTCAATACTTCATAAAAACACTATTATATCTGGATAAATGTAGACATCATACAATACGTGTAGTCACACTCGAGCCGCTACAGGATTTCCGGTTTATAACGTGGATAAAAAAAAACCCTGATGTGGTAGATAAATATGGACACAGCTCACCATTAATTCCTACCCCTGGCACCAACTAATCTATTTATAGTCTTTCTCACCCTTTCCATTTCTCCCTTTTGCATGGCGATTTTTGTTGACGTCTTGGTGTAGAACCGAAGAAACGGGTTTGAATATATACATTTTCTGCCAGGTTTCTGTGAATATTCATGATTTTGAGGCGGACAAATAAGAGAGTTAAGAGGTTGGTTACGTTGAAATTTTATTTTTATATTTTAGATCCGTGTAGGAGTATAGAGTGTTGTGCGCCTCTAACGTGTGACAGGGGAGTGTGTAAATGTAATGGCAACGTCTGTGGGGATGATCAAACCTGCACTGGAACTTGTGATACTGCAAGTTGTACAGACAGTAAGTACTTTGAGAGCGAGAGAGAAAGAGAGAGAGAATAACTTCAACTCGACACAAGCTAGGTCATTTCGGAACTAATATATGGTTCAGTTGTATTTCAATAGTTCGCTTGGGCGTAGAGGTCTTTAACTATGGGAGGAAACCGGAGGATCTGAAGAAATCACACCTGTCACCCGAGAGTACAAAGTCACAAAGTGTGCATGCAGTTTTTTTTGTAATGTGTTTATCATGGTGGACGTTCATCCAGTTATATGAAATTTTAAATCTTCTTTTTATATTTTAGATTGATAATGAACAAACTAGATCAGAATAACAGTCTTTACGACCAACATCAGCTTCTGAAGTCGAACTGGATTCACATTTTACTTTACAGTATTATCTTAAAATAATATGATACATAATGAATGAAACTGACACATTATTTTAATGTTTATCTGTTATTCCATGCCGTTGACAAGAAGATATGGTTATTTTTACATAATTGACATCTCCGTCATTTTTTTTTTTTTTTTTTTTTTGCAACCTGGCTGTGCCCCCATGTATTGGTGTACCAATAGTTGTTAGATTGCAGATGCCACGGTGACTCAGCGAGTAAGACGTTAGCTCGCTAACCCGTGTTCCGTGTTCATCTGGATTTTCCGGCGAGCCCCCTTCCCCCACTGCCCTTGGCAGTGGCCTACCAATTCACAACGTTTAGTCGTATGGAATAGGTGTTTAACGCCCTACTGTTCTGTGCAAGCAACACATTGAACTGAAATGAAAAATGGAATGAAATGAAATGGGGTTTAACGTCCTACTGTTCTGCTCCTATGCTGGACTAATGAAGACGGGCATACGCCATACAGTGTGCTATGAGGGAAATTTTGCCCGGGGAAATTATATCGAATTCCAACTGCCAAGGGATCTTTTACGTGCATTCCAATGTATACACAGGACCTCGGTTTTTCGTCTCATCCGAAGGACTAGACTCCTTGTCAGGCCCTCCGTTCTGCATCACTGACAAGAGGGAACCACCCCGGAAAATCTGGATGAACTTTCTCGGCCAATGCAGGGATCGAACACCCGACCTCCAGGCTAGCGAGCCAGCGTCTTACCCACTTAGCCACGTGATCCCATACACATTGAACTAAAATTGAACCATTGTGATCTTTGTAATAATGAAAGAGAATTCTAAATGTTCGAATTTTAGATCAGCCGGAACACAAATTAGATTTCTAAATTTCCCCGAAAGGCCTTGAAGTGACATTCGCAATGACCAAAATAAACTTAAACACACATAGGTAAGTAATTACAGTCATCAAACTGTGTTTATTAAAACGCAATATATTAATATTTAGGAGTTAATTATTCCGAATATAACTTAAAAACGCTTCCAATGCATTAATAAAACGTAAAACGCCCCATTCTATTCTCCTTTAATCAATGAACTATTCTCTTAAGTTGTTGCAAAGTCGGAAGAAAGTCATGTCACGTTATGCTATTTAGAAAATAACATGCTAACATCATATTCGCCACCTAACTAACATAGACAAACTGAAAACACAATTGTGCGGAATTTTGATATTTGTCAGTTGATCGTCTGTGTAGTAGAAAATCTAGCAGTAATACGGGTTATTTTGATACGTTAACTGATCTATAGATTAATAAGCGTGTTGGTCATTTACATTTTTCATGTTCATAAACATATCTCATATTTGTTGACCACCAAATTAGGTAATAATCCTTGCAAACCATTATACAAACGAGCAGATAGGGAACATAACATAATTGATTAGAAATTACAGTAAAAACAAAAACGATTGAATGTAAATCAGTTTATATACATTCATATTACATTATTATATGCGTTGCGACCCATTTGTGTCAATTTCTAGGTCCCAAATATTAGCAATTTGGCTCATTTAAACATGCATTATGCTAGAGCTAAATCTGCCTATCGCAGGCCTGTTTTGAGACCTTAAATATTATCTAAACTATTAATTGGACATGCTACTAATTACACCTAAGCAATAAGCATGGTCAAAATTCTTTAATCTGAGTTACGAAAGCAGATTTAGAGATTTTTAAACTAATAGAATATATAATTCATGTATATTTCTGTGTGTTTAATTTCAATATGTAAACTGTTTAATTTCTATATGCAAATTTACGTACATCAATGGATACGCAAACGGCCCACAGCGGTGTTGCCAACGCTTCGCAGAAATCATACGCGTATTAACTGGACTATCACGTGAGTATTAAAACATGGCGATTTTCTTATTCTGTCGTACTTTAATGACTATCAAATATTCCATTTGGACCAGGGGCGCCGGAACGGCGCGAGGGCCTTTATCATCTCATGAACACAATTAACCAGTTATAGACATCTGGCCAAGGCATGCACTGATAGCTGATAATGAGAGGGCGAGAGGCGATTCACGACCGACCAGAGAACAATTACATATCTATCATTAAAAATTTTAGACTAGGAAAAAGGTTGAAAACTTTCATCATTAGGGCATGGGTATACATGTTTACACCAGAAAAGGGCAGTTAACCATTTGTATACCCTGGTACCTGGGTTCCGGCGCCCCTGATTTGGACTATTTCACCTAAGTCTAAAACAATTACTGATTTTAGGCATATCTTTAAGCGTAAGGATCACAAATGACACCCATTATTGGTGGAATTCGCCTGGACTATTTCACCCAAGTCTTAAACAGCTTCGCAATTACTGATTTTAGGCATATCTTTAAGCGTAATGATCACAAATGACACCCATTATTGGTGGAATTCGCATGGATAGCAACTGAATTCCAACCGTCAAAGGTACTATTATGAGAGAGAGAGAGAGAGAGATAGAGAAAGAGAGATGGTCCACTTTTATTTTAATAATTAACTTGCACAAAAGGGTCCTCTTAACAGTGGAGGGGAATCGCACAGGCATATAGGGGGTCCATGGAACACTGCATTGCATATGTCCCACTTCATTAGACCAGTTGATGCAAAAAAGTAGGAAGGTTGGATGGTCGAGTTGTCTAAAGCTAGCTTTCTAATCATAAGTTCTGTCATTGAGTCCGGTGGTGCAGTGACACGGAATATGGTCGTCTGACCAAACTCGTGGATTTTTTCCGTCCCCGGTTTGCTCGGTTTCTTCCCATTGCTAAAGCCCCCACGCGAAATATTGAACTAAAATTGAACCATAATGTTTGTCCCGTAATGACCCAGTTTGTACAAATTCAATATTGTAAGGCTCCAAGCTTCCCACCTTCCAGGGTCATATTAAGGTATCATATATGGGGCCCAGAGCTAACAATGTCACTTAGTTCCTTGCACCAACAGTAACATTAAATTGGCATGTCAGTAAGGTAGATCGATATATTTAATTGTCACAAACAAAGACATAATTATTTATGATACAAAACTGTTTTTAAAACTAATTTTGGGGCCCTTTAATCCGACCCTACCACCTACCCTTTTCTACTGAACTAAGTAGGGTTATGAAAAAATAAATCTGGAACTGGCATAATAATTTATGAAAAAACATTATTGCATCTATTTGCACCTGGGGGGGGGGGGGCTGAATGGTTAGCACGGGTGTGCTGTATCATAAAGTCTGTAATTGAGTCAACTGGCGTGGTTTCGAATCCCCGGTTGTACGTGACAAGGAGTAGGGTCGCCTGTCCAACCTTGTGGGTTTTCTCCGGGTCCTCCGGTTTCCCCCCACTGCTAAAGACCCCTACGCGCAAGCAAATTATTGAAATAAAGTTGAACCATGTGTTGGTCCCGAAATGACCTAGTTTGCGTCGAGTGGACGTTAAACACCTCTCTCTCTCTCTCTCTCTCTCTCTCTCTCTCTCTATTTGCATCTTAAACTTCATTTCATGTCATTTCTTTGTTAGACTGCTTAAGTTGGGGGTCAGACGAGCGTATTTTTTCGCTCGCTCGCAACATTGCCCCTTCACGGCGACGACGATTCGGCTCGGTAAACAATTCGCCCGATCAATCGCTCGTATCTAGCATGTTAGATATCTTCGTCTTCCAATTTCTTCAGTCGCTCAACTAATTTCTACACCCAGTTCGATCACATGACGTTTCAACCCCGTCACCGGTGACCCCCAGCCACCATTAACTCGATATTTATGGAATGAGACTCGGCTGATATTCTCAGTTATCCAAATCAAACTGTTAATCAAATTATTGGTTTATTCATCGAGTAGTAATTGGTTTGTCTGTATGTTTATTTATTTTTGTAAAATATACATGCAACTAATACAACATGCAGGCTTTGTTTTATAATTTAGATACCTGAATTAATATCTGATATAGTTTTTATATTGAGTTAAAACTTTGCCTGTAGTTCTTCCTGAAGATAATGGACCAGTCTAGTTAAGGCGTGTGTATCAGTGTGTGTGTGTGGGTGGGGGGGGGGGGACATGGTGGCTGGCTAGGCGGGTAGGCGCTGGCTCGCTAGCCTGGAGGTCGGGTGTTCGATCCTTGTATTGGCCGAGAAAGTTGATCCAGATTTTCCGGCGTGGTTCCCCCTTGTCAGTGATACAGGACTGAGGGCCTGACAACGACAGCTGTCTAGTCGTTCGGATGGTGCGAAAACCCGAGGTCCCGGGGACACATTGGCGTGCACATAAAAGATGCCTTGCCAATTGGAATTCGATATAAAAGTAGACCGTAGTGCCACTGTGCGGGCAAAATTAGCCCAGTTCTGAGCAGAACAGTAGGAAGTTAAACCCCATTTCATTTCATTTCGTGTTTCCAGTGGCGATGGCGGTGCATGTAGTAATTCGGGATTATTGACATCTCTGGGATAAACGGGTGGTGTTTTAACGTAATGTAATTGATCTCATTCCCTACCTGTTCAAAGTTCACGATTTTGCTGTTCCTAAACATCCAGGTGTTTATACTTAATCTGTTGACGCTTTGGTAATCAAAATAAATGTTGGCAATTAATCGTAACCTTGAATAAAAGACTAAATTCCAACAATCCAATAAATAATTTGCTTTAGCATTTACCTTTCAGTCAGCAATATCATATCGTTACAAAAGATTAATTAAAGCTTTGTTAATGATATACTCCATCTGAAGGTCTGTGAAATCAAACAATCCCTTGGTTGTTATGTTAGATACAGATTGAAGTTATCATTCTGCTGGAAGAATTCCCCTGTGGAACTAATCACAGATTTCAATAAATTAAGAATGAAGTCTGTATATACAGTTCAACTATAAGCACTTTGGTAGTCGGAAACTAGGAATTAAATCCTCATAAACTGAATAGAGTCAAACACATCGATCATTGGGGACCAGGTGTCATTTAAATGTCACAGCTTAATGTAGATGTTCAGGTGCAGAGGGTCAAAACTAACCGGTTAATAGTTTACAAGACTAATGACTGATTGTCCGTCCAATAAATCTAGGACCATAGATATAGGAGAGAATGAACTTTGTTTTATTTTAATGTTTATAATTGGGTGCAGAGGTGGAAAGAGAG